GATTGTATTAAGCTGCATCAGGGGATCAATATACAGTTCGTTCTTACAATACAGAGCCATTTAGTACAACAGGAACGTAGCTAATGCCTGTACAATATAAGTAACTGACTGATTGTATTAAGCTGCATCAGGGGATCAATATACACATCATTCATACAATACAGAGTCATTTAGTACAACAGGAACCTAGCTAATGTTTGTACAGTAAGTAACTAACTGATTGTAGCTGCATCAGGGGATCAAATAAATATATTATATTGAAATATATTTAATGTAGCTTTTGAACGGCACTACTATAGTAGTTAAAGAAATAGCACTTATATTGGGTAGGAGTTTTTAATACTTTTTATAGCTAAAAAAATAATACAATTGGAATTCAAAGCTCGGTTGGAAATTCGCCAAAGGCTCCGCACTATGATTGTTGGATATTTTAGGTTTCATGATTTTTAAATCCAGTCCATATTTATATTCTTCCGTTTCAAACAAAACCTAGCCCAAGTAATTTTCCGCTATTCAGCCGCTCTTCGCGATAACGAAGGTATGCGGCCTTTGCCCTCAACACTGATATCTTTCCAAACGACGCAGTCCACTGTCGTCCGCCGCTGAACTATCACCATATTTACTATCGTATATCCGCATCATCTTTTCAACATCCCGCAATTTTTACCTTTTTTTCTTTAAATTAATCAGTCTGTACAGTGCTAATAGAAGTGACAATAGTTTTGTTTTTATCCCAAGAAGAAATTATTTTTTGTTTATTTAACGGACAATTGTAATAGTGCAAGTAGGTCAACGTGTACATGGACAGTCCTCGTCGACGCCGCCATTGCCCAGTGCTTCAAGTCAGGTGGGGTACCCCAAACCAAACATCTCTTCAGCTTCACTAAGGTCTGTGACAGCAATTCAACATTGTTTAGCACTTAAAAAATTAGCCTAATTAAGACTGATTAATTTCATTCTATGTACATATTTTTCTTATTATACCAAACATTTTTTGGGCCTCATCGAACCGGATTATTTTACCAGTTTCTGGTTAGAACATAATTTTATTTATTCCTACCACGAATACTTGTAATATCACTTCATTTTTTACGTATTCTAGCTGAATGGTATTTCATTTCGATTTCGTTTCTCATTGCGTGGAATAATTTTGCTCATTCCGCCATTTTGTATTTGTGCTCCTTTTCCTGTACGATTGTGAGTCCAAATTGACATTCCTGTTCCTGTTTCAAATAGACTATTCCAATATTCCTTCCTGGAATTTCCTGTACGCTAACCGCTACGTCACTGCCACAGCCATCTACGACGTCGAGTCTACGGCTACAAATATCAAGACTTCACTACCGCATCGCTTGTCAGCCTGTCAGTTCACTTTAGCTGTCAGCTTGTCAGATTTTTGTTTACATTACTACATTTGAGTGATAGTCAGAATAACCTCAAATCTACTCAAGATTGACTTTGATTTCGAACTTATTGACTGATTCAAATAATTATCATTGCAGTTAATAAGTAAACAAATAATATAACTGATATTATTTTCAATGGTTTTAATGTGCACTGGATTAATATGAGAAATACCTATGTGAATATTTTGCTGATGATAGATTACGACAAGTAAGTTATACTGCACATAAACTTGGAAATATTTCTTAAACTATTTAAGCCACAAAATAGTTTGGATTATTGGTATAAATAGTTAACCTATTTTGTTAAGAAAGCATCTCTTATTATTATGTATTTGATAGCACACCATTAAGTTGTACTACCTATGCAGTGTTGCTTTTGCCTGTGCTACCCATAGCCTAAGCATAGACTATAGGCCTAACTTGTGCATTTGAGAATTTGATTAAATTGAGGAAAGTCAAATTATATTTTATTGTCTTATCATTACTGCAGATTTGTTTTGTGCTGAATATTTCCTATGTTTAATTTTCTTTCAACATGAGGTTTTCTTCCTTCACCAAACAGAGTGAACTTATTCAAGCTAGGCTTGAGTCAATAAATAAACAAGTCAATGCATTGAAAGAAACTCAGGTTGTGACTACTTTAAGCGAGCAACAGATTGCTAAACTTAAACTCTTGTCTCAAAGTGCAATAACCAAGCACTCAGAATTTGAGAGAATAGTAAATAAACTTTTTCAAACTACTCCCACTCCTGAAGATATTCAAGATGATAAAATTACTTCACTGCAAGAAAAAATTTCTGATTATTTTGTTGAGATTCAGTCAAACTGTAGTTTGTTACTTCCACCAGTTAAACTTGAAGAGTCACGCCTAAATGACTCTACTTCCGAGGTAGGCCCTACTACTCCTACAGTTAATCTGACTGTGAAATTGCCGCAAATCAAACTGCCAACATTCTCTGGCAATCCTGAGCAATGGGTCTCATTTCATGGCCTGTTTGAAAGTACTGTACATAATAATAAAACAATTTCTAATGTTGAGAAATTCTCATATCTCATAAGCTGTCTTTCAGATGAACCTTTGAACTTAGTTAAGTCTATACCACTAAATAGTGCTAATTATGTAATTGCTTGGCAAACCCTGCTTAAGAGGTACCACAATACAAGGCTCTTGATTTCATTACATTCTACTAACATCTTGGACCTACCGCAGCTTACTAAGCCTAATGTTACACAACTTAGGAATTTTATTTCAATTTTTAATGGAAATCAGCAAGCTCTTAAAGCACTTGGCCATAACATAACTGATGACAACCTGATCTTAAGTACACATATTTTGAGAAAGCTTGATTCCGCTATGCGTTCAGATTTTGAACAAAAACGAGATGACTCAAAACAGGTTCCTTCTGTCACAGAAATAATAAACTTTCTGGAAAATGAGTGTTCTTACAGAGAGGCGGCTAACTTAGGCTCGACCTCACATGCTAATTCTTCCCTTCAGTTAAAAAACTATGGAAGTAGTAAGAACATGCCTTATCTAGGTAGGCAAACCGCTAGTCCCAAGCCAAGCAAAGTTGTAATGCTTTCTTCTAATGACAATGAACAAGCTCATACTTGTGCTTACTGCAATGGAGCATCGCATAACATTTTTCGCTGTGATGTTTTTGGTGCCTTATCACCACACGATAGGTTCAACTTCATTAAGAACAATAGCCTATGTGTTAATTGTTTAGGACGACATTTCTTAGGCTCATGTAAGTCATCCAGTTCGTGTCGAGTTTGTTTTAAGCGACACCATACGCTACTGCATTTTTACAAAACGGACCAGCCTATAATGAAAAAATCTGTTAAGCCCTCGAATAAGACTCAGGCCAATTCCACAACACAATTGAAGGCTCCTGTACCGCAAGGATTTGAATCAAATACACTCTCTGCTCATGTAGACACTGGTGCTGCCAGCCACAACTGTACTGTACTTCTTGCCACTGCATTGGTAAAAATTTCTACCTCGAATGGTCATAATATTATTGTCCGAGCTGTGCTTGATAGTGCATCACAAACGAGTATAATATCTGAACACTGTGCCAGTATGATTCACATTCAGCGTTCGTCTGCTGGCGTTCACGAGATAAAGGGCATTGCCTCAGCTCGAATAAAGCCTAAGGGACTTTCCTTTGTAAATATTTCTTCGCTTAACGGGAAAACACTTGCTACGGCACATCCTGTCCTCATACTTGATAGAATTACCAATGATATGCCTAGTGTCAAGATATCTTCTGAAATAAAGGCTCAAATCAAAGAATACGCACTTGCCGATCCCAACTTCGACACTCCTGGACATTTGCTCATCGGTGCGGATCTGTTTGCTCAAACTATTATTGGATCTGCCACCAGTCTTGGTGATCGTATGCCATACACTATAAACACTATTTTTGGATATGTTGTCCTTGGGAACGTGCCTACTTCACAAGACGGCCAAACCTTCAGTGGATTGACGACTTTACTTTCCATCAATGATCTTACACTTCATGAAACACTTCAGCGATTTTGGGCATTGGAAGAACCACCTGCTTGTTCTAAGCTATCCCCAGAGGAAATGGAATGTGAAGATCATTTTTTGAAAACTCACTCTCGTGACGAGACGGGAAGATATGTTTGTTGTTTACCGTTCAAAGAAAATCCAGTAAAACTAGGAAATTCTTCTACAGTTGCTTTACAAACTTTCAAATCGCTTGAACGTAAGTTTCAATCGCAACCTGATTTCAAAGAAAAGTACATTGAATTTATGAATGACTACGAATCCTCTGGTCAAATGAAACCCTCAAACTTATTTGATCTAAATAACCAATATCATTGCTTCTTACCACACCACGGTGTCTTTAAGGATGGAAAGATACGTGTTGTATTTAATGCGTCCTCTCAAACTTCAACTGGTGTAACACTTAACAGTCTACAGCATCAAGGACCCAAGTTACATAATTAAATAACAGACATAATTCTACGTTTTCGTCAAAATAGGATCGCCTTTGCTTGTGATATCAAACAGATGTTCCGTATGATCTCTATTCATGAACAAGACCAACGTTTTCAACTCATCTATTGGAGAGAAGAAATGTCACAGCCGCTTCGAGTTTTTCAGTTGACAACCGTTACTTATGGTATGACTTCTTCGCCATTTTTGGCTAATCGAGTAATACAACAATTAATTCATGATGAAGGAAAGAATCATGAACTTGCTGCTCATGCACTTAAACGACAAATTTACGTAGACGATGCGCTACTAGGCAGCGATACTGTTGAAGAAGCTGCAAAATTACAGCAAGATGTAATAAACCTTTTACGAAAAGGAGGCTTTGAACTTCGCAAATGGGCGTCTAACAATAGCCAAATATTGGAAAATTTACCCCCTCAACACTGCTTATCAACTGACTCACCTTGTGTTAGTATTCTTGGACTGAAGTGGAATCCACACTCAGACACATTCTCATATGCAATTTCTGAAGCTCCATTGATTTTTACCAAAAGAGCAATTTTGTCTTCCATCGCTAAGATGGACAAGATGCTCCAACAACAAGACAACAACAAGATGTAACAGGCATGCTTACCCCTGTTATTTTTTGGGCTAAGGCTCTCATGCAGCATATATGGTCACTAGGCCTAGATTGGGATAATACTCTTCCTAGTGATATTATCGACAGATGGTCAACTTTTGTCAACGAACTTCCTGAGATTGAAAATTTGGAGATTGGCAGGTACATATCTCTGAGTGATGCGGTTAATATTCAGTTGCATGGATTTTCAGATGCAAGTGAACTCGGTTTTGCTGGATGTGTTTATCTACGAACTGAGAACCCGCAAGGCAGTATATATGTCAACTTATTAATAGCCAAGTCACGTGTGGCACCCCTGAAACGTATCACGATTCCTCGCCTTGAACTGTGCGGAGCACATATTTTAGCCAAACTGTTACACTACTGTGTTGATCAACTCTCAGATCGCTACAAGATAGATTCTGTTACCGCTTGGAGTGACTCCACTGTGGCTCTTTCATGGATTCACACCCCTTCTCATCGTTTGAAGTTATATGTTGCAAATCGTGTTGCACAGATTCAAGAATTGACCCCTTCCTGCATATGGAAACACATTTCTACTCTTGAAAACCCCGCTGATGTTGCCTCTAGAGGATTAACCCCATCTCTTCTTATTCATAACAAGCTCTGGTGGTCTGGACCCACATGGCTTAAGAGTTCATCTGATTCATGGCCTCAACCATCGAGTCATCTTCCCGAAGAGGAACTCCCAGAAATTAAAACCACAACACTAAATCTTCTTACGATAGCTGAAGATCAAGATCTGAAGTTTATCAATAAATTCTCTTCATGGACTAAACTACTTCATGTCATGGGCTACGTTTTACGTTTTATTTCCTGCTTGAAAACTAAGCAAAGGATTACTCATTCTCTCACACTTGAAGAGTTAGAAGTATCGAACAAACGGATTTGTTGGCTTGTTCAAAGAGAGAGTTTCTCTGAGGATATTAATTCCCTGTCAAAGAAGAATGTGTGTTCTTCTCGCATTCAACGCCTTTCACCGTTTATGGATGATGAAGGTTTGTTAAGAGTTGGAGGACGACTGAAACATTCTGAGTTGCCGTACAGCGCCAAGCATCAAATTATCTTACCAAAGGATCATTTTGTTGTAAATTTGATAATTGATTATCATCATCGCATCTTTCTTCACTGTGGACCAACACAACTCCAAGCTGTTCTTCGTGAGAAATATTGGATACTTTCTGCTCGTAGTATCATACGCTCCAGGATTTTTAAACGCCTGAGATGTTTCAGAATGAAACCTAAGCCAAACACACCATTGATGGGAGACTTACCTTCCCCAAGAGTGGTAGCAACCCGACCTTTTAATGTTACTGGAGTCGACTATGCCGGACCATTTACAGTGAAATTGTATGTCCTAAAAAGGCTTCAGCCTATTAAAGTTTATCTTTGTCTATTTGTCTGCTTTGCAACGAAAGCCGTACACTTAGAAGTTGTGTCGGATTTGTCCTCAGAAGCTTATATAGCAGCTCTTACACGTTTTATTTCCAGACGTGGTTCAGTGAAGGAAATTCATAGTGATTGTGGAACCAACTTTGTCGGAGCAGCTGCTGCACTTCACAAATGTTTTAACAACCTCCTTTGCAATCCAGTAACTCACCGTTTTGCTGAAGAAAACAACATTTCTTTCAAATTTCTGCCTCCACACGCGCCTCATCAAGGTGGCTTGTGGGAACGAGCTGTTAGGAGTGCTAAGCATCACCTTCATAGAGTAATCGGTGGCCAAATCCTGACTTATGAAGAATTCATAACTCTCGTGTCACGTGTCGAAGCAATATTAAATTCAAGACCGCTTACCCCTCTCTCTGGAGATCCGAATGACTTAGAGTCTCTAACCCCAGGACACTTTTTAACTGGTGGACCTCTGAAATCCATGGTTGAACCTCAATATGATGAAACTTCTTGTAACCGCTTGAGGAGATGGCAATTAGTTCAGGCATTCTCTCAACACATCTGGACTCGATGGTCCCAAGAGTATCTGCATACTCTACAGCATCACTCTAAGTGGACGAGTAAAACAGAGAACCTCAAGATTGGTGACCTTGTTGTTATTCATGAGCCTAACACTCCTCCCCTACAATGGAAACTTGCAAGAATCACCGCAGTATCTCCAGGAGCAGACGGAATTGTACGAGTGGTCCATCTACGCACCGCTACAGGGAACTTCAGTCGGCCAACCGTCAAAGTTTCCCTTCTTCCTACCAATTAATTCCTAAGCATTCCCTTTCACCCCCTTTCAATTTATTTTCATTTGTCTTTTCCCATTTTTCAGTTTTTTCATTGAACCAGGTTGGTTCAAGGGGGGCGATATGTTGGATATTTTAGGTTTCATGATTTTTAAATCGAGTCCATATTTATATTCTTCCGTTTCAAACAAAACCTAGCCCAAGTAATTTTCCGCTATTCAGCCGCTAACGAAGGTATGCGGCCTTTGCCCTCAACACTGATATCTTTCCAAACGACGCAGTCCACTGTCGTCCGCCGCTGAACTATCACCATATTTACTATCGTATATCCGCATCATCTTTTCAACATCCCGCAATTTTTACCTTTTTTTTCTTTAAATTAATCAGTCTGTACAGTGCTAATAGAAGTGACAATAGTTTTGTTTTTATCCCAAGAAGAAATTATTTTTTGTTTATTTAACGGACAATTGTAATAGTGCAAGTAGGTCAACGTGTACATGGACAGTCCTCGTCGACGCCGCCATTGCCCAGTGCTTCAAGTCAGGTGGGGTACCCCAAACCAAACATCTCTTCAGCTTCACTAAGGTCTGTGACAGCAATTCAACATTGTTTAGCACTTTAAAAATTAGCCTAATTAAGACTGATTAATTTCATTCTATGTACATATTTTTCTTATTATACCAAACAATGATTGTCATGCAAATCACCTGTTTAAGAGTTTTGCTGGTATTGCTAACATAAGAGACACGGCGTCGATTGCACAATAAATTCCGTTTGCAACGATTATATAATTGTTTTAAGATAACCCTCCGGAAATTGCCAGATTTTTAGAATTGATTAAACGCTATTTTACCAAAAATTACAAAATAGTTAATCAGCTCTTCGTTTTGAAGTGCACTTTTGATGACGGTAATTTATGTTAATTGTGTAAGTATCTTTTGCGGATATTTTTCATCACGAATAGTAAAAACCCAAATTTTTGGAGGAAGATCTTTGCAAAGATTACGTAAATAACATAATTTAGCCGGTTTGAAATAATGGATATTAATTAATTGTAAAGCTGACCAGTACAAAAATATTTATTATAAAGTGTTAAGCAATATTTCAAATAAGAGGAACTATAAAACTCGGGTGTAAAGTATTAACAATTCAATGTAACAAAACATAATCACGTAGTAGGCTAGTATGCAAAAATAACCTGAATTGTTTTGTGGTTTTTGCTATTTTTAAGGTAAATTAACTTAAATATAAAAGCTAACATTGTTTGAAATTAACAGTAATACAATAGAACAACTATAACACATAATAATTGTTCAGAAATCAAGAATATCTTTTTACAAAATGCAGGGTTACATAACTGGAAAACGTCAGTACAACTACAACTAAAATATTGTTGTTGTTTGTTGTGTTGTAAATATTGTCGGAACAAATGTATCTATCTGAAAACAAACTGAAAATTGAAGCTAATAGAATAATGTTGTACATTTTCCACTCACGTGCTCAAAACACCGCACGTGGAAAACGGTAGATTCTGGGGGAAAACTGACTTGAGACTTGGGGCGGGGACAATAGCAATCCCTCAATCAATTTGGTCCTCTCAACGGCAACTGTTGACTTAAGCTAAGGGACTGAGCATTTCATACATTACCTCCCCCAAAAAGCGCCCCTAACCGCTCCCCACAGGAGTATAGGGAGTCCCTCGGCACTAGATTTACAAGTCAAATCGTCAACTCGCAAAGAAACCGCAGGTGACGTTTAAATCGCTTCGTAACGTTTCGAGAGTTATTTCGAATCGTACCTTTCAGTATGTAAATGGCATTGTAGGAATTCAAGAAATTGTCGGAAGGGAGCGTATTTAAAAAGGAGACGACGAGGTGGTTTAAATCTTTGCAAAAGCATTGACAACAAAGTTTTACCGTCGGAATTAATTTGCCATAAAGCAGGATTCACATAAAAATCCAATCAAAATCAAAATCAAAATGTCCGCAATAAACCTTTGAACAACATTAACTCACCATCACCAACAATGAACTTCAAACAAAGAAAAATCCAATATTGCTATCTACCAAATATTTTATTATTAACATTTCCATTACTAAGATCAGAGGATTATTAAGTTGAGAAGTTACAAAAATGTGATGACAAAAAGCAAAAGTAACTAACAAGTATGAAATATAATTATAGCTGTAAAAATGTTTTTTGTATACTGTTTTTGCTTGATAGAACGGGAATATTTTTGTATATAAGCGCGTGGAAAATAAAAAAAACATAGTTTAAACTATGACAAATGTGACGTTTTTTAACAATATTTTTCATTGAAAGAAAACCATAAAAAAATTACAACTTGATAAGAAAATGTCCAAAACAAAGTGTCTTATCAATATTTAATAGTAACAGTTTTATGTTACTACAGTTTTATAAAACTTTGAGTGAATATGACATAAACATGACCCAAAGAGTAAATCACGAAATTTATTTCTTATTTTTATATCTTATTGTAACCTATGTATGTGAATTGGCAGTATAATTTTAAAACAACAGCAAAGTTACCAACGGTTTTTGGAAGGTTTGGGTTTGGGGGTTGTAAGGGTTTTTGCCTCCACATATCACCTGACCACAGGTGTTCGGGTAACCAAGCTGTTAGGCTAATTGCTTGAATGATGTAAAAACACCCTTCCTGCAGCTGATTAAATAGCCTCTCATCGTGTAGACGTCTGAGAAAGTAATTTGTGGTTGGGTTGACAACCTAAAAGCATTCATTAATTAATTTTGGTTACAGGAATTGATGGAAGTTGTTGATACGTTTTTTAAATGAATATTGATTAGGTTTTCAGGTTGAGAGATCTTCATTTATTAGTCTTTACAGGATCTTTGAAACATGTGGTCATTGATGAAAAAAATGTATTACATTTTCTACAATATATTTAAGAAGGTACAGAAGCTAAACAATCATTTCTTAAAATTGAAAATATTCAATGTTCAACCCAAAACAATCAGAAACAATAATAGCAAAATGGCTGAAAGACCATCAAAGAGTAGTAGATATGGTCGAAGGTTCTCTTCAATACACATATGAATAAAAAAATGTTACTAGGTTAATATTTCTAAGAACAGTAGAACAATTTACATCTAAGTTTGGATCAAAGTCTAATAATTTAAATGAATGTAAACTACGTCATGATGGTCCCTTGGTTAAAATGTAAGAAAAACTTACTTTTAGTAAGTTATCTAATAAACTATTTTTTTGTTCTGTAGAGAGTGTCTTGCAAGTTTAACTACGAACCAAAAAGATAAAAAATGATGATCGAATGTTTATAAGTTACCACCAACTCATGTCCCAAGTGAGCTAGCAGCTCTATTGGCATCGTTAGACGAGTAGACGATCTTTAGCAGCACAATACCAGCTTCAATTCGCTGCTTTTGATTGACAATTGTAACTTCCGCAGGGAGTTCAACAATGCCTATCGCCGGCGGCAACTTGAGTAGGTACTCCACACAATAAGACCAATACCAATACACCCGCGGGATACCACGCCCTTATTTTCTACGTTTACAAACCAATGCAGGCCTTTAGGAGAGTACAAGAGTAGGAAAAGCAGCTCTTGCGGCCACCAATCAGAGAGCAGCATTTCATCCCCACCCTTCCCCCTAGGCCATGCCCCCTTTTGTCCCACGTGGTCGCCCTCTGGTGTCCCACGTGGTCTAACCTCACTTTTGTTTTCGCGCCAAACATCTAACCTCACTTTACGTATTGCATACGTAGGTTCCCGCCAAACGAAAAAAACTTCACCTTCCCGCCAAGAAACATAACCTCACTTTCGTGCTAAACGAAAAAACTTCTCCTTCCCGCCAAGTAACATAACCTCACATTTATTTTCGCGCCAGACGAAAAAATCACCTTCCTGCCAAGTAATATAACCTCACTTTCGCGCCAAACGAAAAAATCACCTTCCCGCCAAGTGACTTTCGCGCTAAACGAAAAAAACCTTACTTCTTCTCCGCCGATTCCCGCCAAACAACGTATTGCGTAGGTTCCCGCCAAGTTACATAACCTCACTTTTATTTTCCCGCCAAACAAAAAAAACCTCACCTTCTCGCCAAACGAAAAAAACTTCATGTCCCTAGCAAATAGTATATAGAAAACTTGTTGTGCACCCTTTAGGACAGGGTTTGGGACTGTCCGAGTGTCTGAAGGACACCCCCAGGTTCAGGTATTATATCGTATTGTACTTGTATCCAGAGGAACTGGCTTAGTATTATACCATATAATACCCCCCTCCCTTATTTTGAGGGTGCACTTGGAATTGAAAACGCAGTTATAATGTTACAAATATTTATTCTACAAGCAAGACACATTACTAATTTATAAAGAATTGAGTGAAGTGTTAAAAACTACTGAGCACTACTACTACTGAACAACATGCTAAAAACTAATGTTTATAAATAAGCACATTAGGGGAATTCCCCACTATCCCCGTACATTTAACACTATACAATTTAGAGTTTGTGAAACATTCTAGATCTTCGTCCGTGAGGAGGCTGGTGAACCTCGAGGGTAAAAATGTCACCCTCTCCTCGCCGGCAGATGTGGTGACGTGTAGTACGATCACCATGGTTCCGAATCTCGTGTTGATTCGTCTAGCAGATTAAATTTTCGCCGGCTCGGTCAGATCTTTGATGGGGACTTTCAAAGGGAAAGAGAGCACCTCGCAAGACGACAGCTTTGTAGAAAGATCCATCTAAAACCATATAATATTGTCGTAATAATATTGTATGGATAGTCGAGTGGTTATAGTGTTTGCTTTTAAATCTGGAGGTTGCTGGTTTGATCCCCGGTTGATCCCTAAAAACTATGGGAACTATGATAGTAAAGAGGACCTATGCTGTTATTTTTACATTACAGGATCATTGATGCATCATAGATGCATCAAAGATGGATCATTGATGCATCATAGATGAATCATAGATGCATCATAGATGCATCAAAGGATGGATCATTGATGCATCATAGATGCATCAACGA